ATAAATTGCACACTCACATGTCCATGAGCTGGGACCAGCTCTAGTATGATAGGCACGCAGCGGATTGCCCTCCGCTTATAGGGGTACTTGTCCTCCTGGGGGGTGCTGGTATCCAATTCTCATAAAAAGAAATAAAAACAGCCGATAGTGCTCTCCGGAGAAATAGTTAGCGTAAAAGAATAAAATAAATAAAATATACTCACAAATAGAGTGCAGGACTTACTGCACTCTGTTGGTCGCGTGGGTGGTATAATCCCCACCTTAGGATATGCCAGGAACAGTAAATAGAATAAAATAGTGTAAAAAGGTAATATATGTAAAATTATTTATTAATACAATATATTAAAACCAATAACGCGTTTCGCCAGCAGGCTTTATCAAATTGGAATCGGCTGTTTTTATTGGACATGTGAGTGTGCAATTTATATTTTAACCTCACTACTATTTTTCTATACATTCTGCACGATTAGTCCTTTCCCATTGTGTTTTTCATATCGTGAGACGGACAACTGTTAACAAAGAAGACACCACATCAGTTAAGACACCATCTATTATTGGGACTCTTGTACAGAATATTTTTTATTTCTCCACCGATTTTTATTTTTCTTTTGTTTTATTTATTTTCTGTGGCGCAGCCTTCTTTTCTGTTTTTTCTGTATACTCATTTAACAGCATATGTTGATTGTCAGAGTGATAGTGTTCTAGAAGAGTAGTTTAATGCATCCTAGCATCTTTGTTATTCATATAGTGCCCTGATTGGAGAACCGGCGCCTGAGTTACAGTTAAAGTTTTACAGTATCACGGTTATTTTCCGACCAGTTTAGTTCTGGTCTTAAAAAAGGGGTTCCAGAACCTCTGCGAGGGAACACTCTCAATCCCCAGGTGTTCTCTGATGCCTCCTTGCCTACCCAACCTCCCCTCCAAATAAAACTCTACTTGGAGGTTCGGGGACAGAATTAAATCCTCTTAAAGATTTACCAGACCTCGGCGCAGTAACATTCTGAGAAACAATTCCAGAGTGTTTCAGGGTATCTCCGGTGTTATCTCCTGATTAGGCGCTCGATGTGTAAACTTATTTCAAGTGATCCCCAGAGATCCTCAAGTCCGACTAGGACGTAGGCTAAGTGTTCGGAGCACCAATATCCCTTGCCACAGTGGCAATAGCCCCTTTCTAGGGACTTTTTGGACAAAGCCCATAGTCTGTGGGCAGGAGGCTGGGCTTCAAGGCTCTCCAACAATCTGTGGCATGGGAGCTTCCATCTCATCTGTCTTATCAACACCTGCACAATGTGGGTGGCCAGTGACCTCTCTTCTAAGAGCCTTCCCATGTTCCCCAACCCCATAAAAGGCAGATGAAGTAAGTATAAGGATTTTATTAACTGGACATTGCAGGCCTAAAAACATCCAAAATAACGGATATTATATAAAGGTATATATGTGCATAATTCCGCTCTGCCTGAAAAGTATTGTGTTTGAATCTGTGAGTATAGTGTATTCTGCTGTGTAACTGCATGCAGGATGATTTACAGATAATGTTAGAAGTTGTAAGAATAAAGTTGGGTTTAAGGTTAGAGAGGGGTTAATGTCAGAGTTAGGTTACATATGGTGTTTATTGTTAATAAGAAGAGTAAAAGCTTGAGAGGGGTTATAGTTGTTGTAATAGAAGCCTCTGTTACATTAGCACTTGGAGAGGACTGGAGGTCAGCCTCCTTCTCATTGACTATGTGCCCTGGCCTGCAAAGGTGTTCTATTTTCAGAAGGCAGGTACACGGGGACCAGGGCCGGACTGGGAGAAAAATTCAGCCCGGGCATTTTTTTAGCACAGCGGCCCACTAAGAAGGGGGCGGGGCAGAGAGGGTGTGTTTCGTCATCACCAAAGACAAACACGCCCCCTCTCAAAGTGAGCGTTGGGTCAATGCTCTTCCAGGGCAGAGCTCTGCTAAAGAGCTCTAGCATGAGAAAAAAACAAACCTGTATTTGTTCTGCACAGTGCAAGCAAATTTAATAACATGCTTGCACTGTGTTTCCTTGAAACTTGTCTCTGGTGTCTCTATAAATGGATACCAGGAGACAAAAGGGCAAGGAAAGAGTATTGTGCATGTGTTTGGAGGCTGCTTTGGGATTGTGTGTGTGCAGAGTGAGCTGGTCGTGGTTTGGTATTGTGTAATAAGGTTGGTTTTAGTCGTGTTGTGTTTGTGGTGTAATGTAATGCATATGTGGCTAGGAGCTGAAGAGAATGTGTGTATAGGGGATGTAGTAAATGTATGCACACAGGCTATAGTGTGTGTGTGTGTATATAGGTGATGTAGTGTTTGTAGGGGTTGTAGAGAGTGTGCGTTTAGGGGTGTAGCATGTGTTTGTTTACAAGGAATCTAGTGTGTGTGTATCAGGGATCCAAAGTGTGTATGTTAGGAATGTAGTGTGTGTAGGTGGTGCAGTGTGTGTGTGTGTGTATACAGGAGTCTAGTGTGTGTTTGAAGGACCCAGAATGTGTATGAGATCTAGTGAGTGTGTGTATATAATGGAATCAGAGTGTATATAGGGATTTAGTGTGTGTATATGATCCATAGTTGGGTAAGGGATAGTGTGTCTGGAATGTAATATGTTTAGGGGTGCAGTATGTGTGTGAGGGGTTCAGTGTGTGTGAAGGGTGCTGTGGTGTGTGTTTATATAATATAAAATATATATATATATGTTTGGAAGTATTGTATGTGTGTGTGTGTGTTTAGTGCAGTGTGTTGGGGTTCTGTGTGTATGTGTGAGGTGTGCAGTGGGTGTCTGTGAGGGGTGTAGTGTGTATGTGAAGGGTCCAGTATGTGTGTGTAATGGATGCTGTGTTTGAAGGGTGCTGTGTGTGATGATGCTGTGTATGATGTGTTTAAGGGTGCTGTGTTTAAGGGTGCAGTGTGTGTGATTTGTGTGTGAGGGTGCTGTGTGTGCTGTGTGTGTGGGTGCTGTGTGTGTGGTGTGTGCTTTGTGTGTGTGGGTGCTGTGTGTGATTTGTGTGACGGTGCTGAGTGTGCTGTGTGTGAGGGTGCCAAGTGTGATGTGTGTGAGGGTGCCAAGTGTGATGTGTGTGAGGGTGCCGTGTGTGATAGTGCTGAGTGTGATGTGTGTGAGACTGCTGAATGTGATGTGTGTGAGGGTGCTGTGTGTGATAGTGCTGGGTGTGATGTGTGTGAGACTGCTGAGTGTGATGTGTGTGAGGGTGCTGTGTGTGATAGTGCTGAGTGTGATGTGTGTGAGACTGCTGAGTTTGATGTGTGTGAGGGTGCTGTGTGTGAGACTGCTGAGTGTGATGTGTGTGAGGGTGCTGAGTGTGATGTGTGTGAGACTGCTGAGTGTGATAGTGCTGAGTGTGATGTGTGTGAGACTGCTGAGTGTGATGTGTGTGAGAGTGCTGTGTGTGATAGTGCTGAGTGTGATGTGTGTGAGGGTGCTGAGTGTGATGTGTGTGAGGGTGCTGTGTGTTATGTGTGTGAGAGTGCCTAGTGTGATGTGTGTGAGAGTGCTGTGTGTGAGAGTGCTGAGTGTGATGTGTGTGAGACTGCTGAGTGTGATGTGTGTGAGAGTGCTGTGTGTGAGAGTGCTGAGTGTGATGTGTGTGAGAGTGCTGTGTGTGAGAGTGCTGAGTGTGATGTGTGTGAGAGTGCTGTGTGTGAATGTTAAAAGTGATTGTGTGTTGGGAGGGTAAAAAAAACAACAACAAAAATGCATTATATCTTCCCCCCCTCCTTACCTTTAGCCTGGGAGGGGTCTGGCACGGTGGTATCTGGGAGGGGGGGGGGGCACTCATCATCCCTGGTGGTCCAGTGGTTAGTGAACTCTAGCCTGTAGGTTCTCGCGAGAGGAGCCCGGCGGAGCTGCAAGATAGAGCTCCGCTGGGTCCTCTCCCTCCCCAGCCGCAGGTCTATTTAAATGGGCTGGTGAGGGAGAGCTTTGATCTCCCCACCGGCCCGTCGTGGCAAACAGCGGGGCCGGCGCTCGAAAAGTGCCGGCCCTGCATAGACCGGCAGGGGAGATCCTGGGACCTCCCCTGCCGGCCTCGGCCCATGGCCACCGCGGCTCACCGGACATTTGCCCGGTGTGCCCGATGGCCAGTCCGGGCCTGACAGGGACCATTCAGACTGCTCTGCCTCCTGGTTTGGGTTTGCCACTGTTGCAAGGTTACGGTAACCTTGCATTAAAAGGGGATTTTTTTTCAGACTTGCTATGACTTTCTATCAGCCACTGTTCGTGAACCTGAAATATGCATTGATTTGCATAACCACAATATGCAAAGTATAAAATTGCAAAAAACTGACCAGTTGCATCTGTATATCGGTATTCTTCTGTAGTTTGAAAAGTTGTGATTGTGTTATTTATTTGAGGCATTATTATATTGCTTGTTCTTCAAGGTATGCATGCTTGCCTATATTTATATTAATTTCACCACATGTTTAAGGACAAGTCAGGGACGAGTTAAGAAAGAGCTAGGCCTGAGAGCTGGTTCAGTGGAATAGGTCATCTAAAACCTCAGTCAAGCTTCGGTGACTGGGTCTGAAGAGCTCCAGAGTCCCTGGTAGCAGAAAGAAAGCTGACCTGGCTGAGGTACTCAGTCGGAGCACGGGACATCCGTTACAGTTTAGTATTTAGTAAGTATTTAGTTTCGTATTATAAGGGCTGTTTAGGATTATTGAGTTTAGGGCGAGAGTTAAGTTAAATTTAGTATTGGGATAAATGAGCTGTTTAGTTTTTAAGAGAAAGTAAACACTGGACTAAGACTAAGACAAAGGGTTTTATTTTTATGTTTAGGCTTTAAGTGCTGGAGTTTGAAGGGTTATTTGCAAAGAGCTCACCCTTCTATATCTTTGAAGACCTGTCAGTTTCCTAAGATTGATATTTGACCTGCAGGAACTGTTATAGACAGTGTGCATCACTGAGAGCTACCCCTGCTCCTACCACAATGCATTTTTTCCTGTGTGGCAGATGGGAAGTGATCCCTTCCTCTTCCTGTCCAGCCTCACACACATACCTTGGAGGAGCTAAGACAGCACTGAGTTTTAAACTCTCTATAATTGTTCCTGTAGCTCAGCTATCAAGAATAGACTACAGAGAAAACTGGCCAAGACTCCTGGTACTTATCTCACCATCAGCCTACCTGATCTCCAAAGTGGTATATTATAAGTGCTGTAAACAGGCGCCCCCTACAGAAGAGGTGAATGTAGGCAGGTGCAGTGGCGTACTAAGGGGGGGGCGGAGGGGGCGGTCCGCCCCGGGTGCCACCAGGGTTGGGGGGTGCCATGACCAGCCCCACCGCCCCCCCCCCCATGCTGCAGCCGCCCGAGTGCTCTGTAGTGAGCCTCAGGCGGCTGCAGCATTGCCCGGGCGGTGCGTCCATGAGGGCGGACCGCACCGCCCGGGCGCAGCCTGAGGAGAGAGGCTGACAGGAGGGAGCGCTCAGCGCTGAGCGCTCCCTCCTGTCAGCTTCCTTTGCTGTAGCGTGGCCGAGCCCTGCAGCATTGATAGTCCGACGGGT